GTTATACCTAGAAAGAGTTCCTCCCGTGCTGTTGCCCACACATGCTGTCCCTCATCCCCAACCCGCCCTTACTTGCTGTGATTTCCTTAGATCCAGCTACTCTCCCCCATCCCCTGAGTTGTGTTGATCCCTAAACCCTAAACCCTACCCTTGTTTGGATGCTTTAAATAATAACTTTTCCCCCCTTGCTTCCGCCTTCCAGTGATGTGTCGACCGGATCCCTCTGTATCCCCATACTGCCGTCACTTCTTTATGAGACCCTCCCCACTCTGCACCCTCTTTGATCCCGGCCCTCCTGCCCCTTTTTTTTTTATCTTCAATCGGCGGCACTTCCTGTGGGCTCAGACGGTTCTTACTGACGAACGCAGTTTTGCTCCCCTTTCTTCCTCTAGAGCCACAAGCGGCCCATGCTGGATTGTGGCGAACGGCTGAGGTGACAAGGAAGGTAGACCCTGTGGAAGCGGTCTCCTGCAACCTAATCCGGTGAAACCCCCTTCGACCCCAACCCTTCAAGTCATAGTTGCTTCCTCCGTTGGTGACTGTTGCCGTACAATCCTATCCGGAACTGAGTTGTGCCAGTCCTTCCAGCTCACCCTGTCTTCCCGGATCTCAGCCACCTTACCGCTAATCAGCCAGTTCCTGCTAAATTTCGATCTCACTTTCTTTCGCTGCTCTTCGTCCTCGGGCCATTTCAGCTTGATTCTCCTCCATCTGCACAATATCTCTGCTTGGATAATCGACTTGGACTCTTTCCATACCTTGTCCCTTGGATTTGATAGTCCTTCAATTGATCTGCTACATCTCTCCTTCCAGATCACCCATAGGGTCACCTTCCTGATGAGTTCAAACCAATTCGATTCCGCCCTCAGAGTCATCGTGGGGATGTTAGTGAGGAGGAGGAGTTGGATGAGTTGTTCAGGGAAAGGGGAAGAGAAGAGGGAGTCCCACAGGGAAGAGGCTCTCGCCCAGTAATCTGTCGCCTCCACACAGTGCACCAAGCAGTGAATTATGTCCTCTACCGCTCCTGCCGAGCAGACTGTACATATCTCTGAGCTATCCGGATTAGTAGCTTTACGCCTAGTGTGCACCCATTGGTTCACTGGTAAGGCAGCATACGCTATCAACCACTGCAGACTCCTGATCTTAACTGGTCTGATCTGTGCATATTTTTTCCATGGGATCTGTTGAATTTTGTCGGCTTCCTGTCCCACCAGCTTTCGCCATCTGTTTAAGATAATGGGATTTGGGTCTTTGGTCTTCAGTAGTAGTCCGTACCCAAATTTAATGGTATAATCTTGAACCGGAGTTTTCGTCTTGACACTCCGATTGCTGCCTGAGGTCCATGCCCACTCTTCCGGGTCAAATTCTAAGGCTCGGATAGCCGTATCTGGTCTAAAAATCGACTTCGGCCATGTGCCTGTGACCCTGACCTTTCTGAGGAGAAAAAACTCTAGTGTGGAGCATTCGACTTCCCGATTATGGATGGCTGGCATATCTGAGCCCGTGGTGGTTATCGGGAAGGAATGGAAGACGGCGTTGGTGGGTGAATCACGCTGCATGTGGGAAAATTGGTAGGCTCTAGTAGGAGGGGTGTCTTGGATCAAGAGGCCCCAGTCCCCGGCTCTCCACGGCTCGTCCTTGGCAAGGATGTCCTTCCATTCTTGCGGGATACAGCTAATTAGGTACTGCAAGTTGGTTTTTCTCCTGTGGCATCCTTTCAGTTGTGCATTAACCTCTTGCTCCGTAGCCCAGTTTTTTCTATCCTCCTTCCACAAGTGGTCTATCTTCCAGATCCCGTTCTTGACCCATGACAGCCATTTTTGTTCCATATATATCGGATTGTTGGCCTCGTTCGTTATCCATTCATTACCAAATAGCGGTTGTCTGAGTATTTCGTCTTTCGACTTTGGTCTGTTGATCCTGGTGGGAGAAATTCTCCTCCAGAGTCGAAGCAGCACCGGCCAGTACGGGGAGGGAGGTCGAACATCTTCTGTCCTGTTATTCCTAGTCCGATTCCTGCGTCCCGTTGTTATCCTACATTCCTTATTCATAACCCAGAACAGTCCTGACATGTCGGTTGGGGAGCGGGTAGGGCCCACCGCCCTGATGCTGTCTAATGTCAACTTGTTCCAAGCGGTGTCTGGGTTTGTCAGCAGTTTAATGATCCATTTTATTTGCAAGGCTTTGGTCTCTGTCCCCGGGTCAATGAGGCCCAGGCCTCCATTCCTAGGACTCCTTGTGACATAGTGCCAGGCTATCTTAGGGATGCATTTTTCTTTGTGGGGGTCGCCTGTCCACATATAAAGCCTGGCTCTACGGTTCAACTCCTTCACCGAGCTGTCGGGGACTGTCCAGATAGAAGCTATGTACCACATCATTGAGAAAACAGACGTGTTAAGGACCAGCGCTCGACCAAAGAGGGACGTAAACATGTTGCCCCATCTCCCTATCTTGTTGATCTGTTTGGTCAACATTGAGGGTCCCATTTGAGCTGCCA